AAARAAAACTAAATACTTTGCACGCTCTTTGAAGACAAGAAAAGAAAATATCTAGTGGTAATTAACCTTGACATGTTGCCCACATACCAGCTAATCCATAAAACAATTAAAACATTTATTTTTATGAATAGATGACAACTGAAAGCCTAATTATGCCCGGCACATAATCATTTCCAATTTTAAAACACAAATCTAGATGAGAATGCTGGGATTTAARGAATTCAACAATTGAGACAATGAAAACAAGAGAAATTCAACTTCCCACAACAATGTCCCATTGTCTTGGCGGTTGATTCCACCTGGTGCCATAACTCATTTGTWGACAAACAATATTTACAACAGATGTCAATGTTGCCCTATCTTTTATTTTTCCTCTGCTCCTTTTGTAAAGCTATTGTTTTGCGTCGTCTCCCATGGCCCTCTTACTGTGTGCTGAACCTTACAGAGCGTTCGTCCTTTTGTCAGTGCCTGTCACCTGCGCTCTCTCCTGTTCCCCCCCCACACAATACACAGCTGTATTGCTTCTCTCAGGCTGACAATTGAAGTCCAGGGGGAGACTCCCAGGCTTGCTTCGGGGAAAGGTGTGAAAAGGGAAGCGGAGAATAAGAAGCAGGTTTGGCAAAGATATCCTCTGCATCTCAAAGCGTATCATTTGGTTTTCTTCTGATTAACTTTGCCTGCTTGATCTCTGCAGTTTTTTCTTTTTCACCCCCAGTTTCCCCTCCTCTGATTTGGAAGAGATAGCACGCTACAAGCCAGGAAGCATTACTAGATAAAAAGGCATCGTGCCAGCTCTGTATGCTTTCTGAACATCCATCGCCTTCTTGACAAGGCTTGCGTTTGGCTTCCTCGCCTCCACATTCTGCTGCAGTGAATTACTGTAAATATTATTAAAAGCAGAGAAGYGGCTGATTTAACTGAGCCAACTAGCTCAAAATTACGACTTTGATTTCTAATTTACAGCAGCGTTCACATCTAATTTTAAACGAGGGGAAGCTGGTACGGAATGAGGATGGTAACAAGTTGACACAGCAGTCGATCTTTCAAACTGATCTTCAGCATAAATCTTGAAAGACTCATGCATGCAGAGAGTTAAGATCCACGCAGCAAGATAACTGCTGGCAGGGAATATATGAGGCAAATTACAGCAGGGTGGAGGTGAAACAATTCCCTTAGTTTGACATCAAGCATCAACTTTCATCCGACACACAAAGATGTGACTCACTGGTAATTTCCTGTGGGTTTTCTCCACTTTTGGTGAGTCATTAAACATATATATTTCAATTTGTTTTCAAAAACGCACATTCAGGACAAAGTAAAAGAAATCAGGTGGAAAGGAAAACTAGAACAGAGGTCTCCAACCCGTAGCTCGTGAGTTCATTTAGAGTAGCTCTTCAGTGCTTATGAAAAATTACGAGTAGCAAAATTGAATTTGTCACTGGTCAAACACACTTTCATTTCTATCCAATCAGTCCACAGATGTCCCTCCCCATTGGTTGTCAATCAAACAGTTTAGGGCTCAGTATGGTCGACTGGTAGCCGACCAAATGACACAAGGTCAAATTCTGTGACGTAATATTTCAGAAAACGTCATAGAAAATACAAAAGAAAAAATAAACAAMTTTAAAAAGATATTACCCAAATGGRATATAAARAGTGGTGGGCAGCACTAATCTAAAAATTAGTTCCACTAGCCCTAAAACACAAACTCAAATATTTAGGTTCCCTAATTCTAAAGCACCAATGCACTGAAAGTTTTAGTAAAAACTAATTCTAAAACACTAAAATAACCCAGTCAACCCATGAACATTCTTCAACAGACAACATGAGTCACGTATTACCATGTTGCTCTCGTAAGACTTATCATTGACATTCCTCAGCTGTATTTGTGTTCATATATCGTCTATATTTTGTCACCTAGTGGATAAGTAAAGACCTCAGTTAGTGCTTCTAAATTTCGCCTATAAATTTATCAAGTGCTAATCCACTAATAAATTTTAAAACTAGCAGAAGCCCTAAAGCACTAATCAGGAAATTAGTTCCCCTATTAGTGTTTTAGTGCTTTAGGGGAACTGTGCCCACCACTGTATATAAAGATATCTATGCAGCACCAAGTGAGACTAAATTTAAATTTTCTGAACTCCTAGAGACTCCATGTACAGAACAAAATGTATTTATTGGTTAAAAAAGAGGATTTTGCATAAGTTCTTTAAAATAGAATTTGTATTTTCACAATCCTGTCTTAAAATGCTAATCTAAAGGATGAAATGTAAACAAAATAACATTTGTTCTTTTGTCATTAAAAATATATATGTTGACCAAAAATAGTCTGGTTTATCTGTGGAATGAATTGGTTTGTATGATTCTTCGATTGAGCCTAAACAGGACAAATGAATACGCTCCAACTAAAACATCAAACCTTGTTGGACTTACAGCTGTGAAAAGTCTGTTGTAATTATCAGTCTAACTCCAGCGTCAGACTAAAATCATCATATTTGTCTTAAAACTGACACCACTATTGTCTCTGTTTAACCATCAACTGGGTGACCTTTTAAGTCGACCACCCTAATATAAAGCACCCATTTAGAGTCTTATTACTTTCCATGAGCTGGCTAATTAATAGCTCTTTAAATACAAGGAGSCTTTGGTGCAATACTGAACACTCAGCAGTCATCATGGGAAGCCAATGACAGGCGAGAGAAAGACAAGTCAAGCTAATATTACTCTAAGAATAATGGGACTATTTAATACTAGTTCTGCAATTTCAGATACATTAAATGTGTTAAATCACTTAAAAACTGAAAAGGAATAACTCTCTCAGTTCTCCTCCAATCTACCGTGTGTTAATAAATCACTGGACTATCTTGAGCAGCTAAAAATACTTGCTGGACAAAATGTACGTGTTTGAAGTTGCACCCGGTGTACCAAACATCACATGTTTTACTCTGGATCACTTTCATTGCGGCTACCGAAACCAGAACATCCACATTTTGATCAAAGGAGAGAAAGTTAACCCCGAGGTGCTCYGTGATGTTGAACAGGCCAGGGAATGTAGATGAGAGCCTGTGAACCTGCAGACGATGTCACAGATAAGAGGTTGATCTAGGCCATACCAGAAAGATGAATGTTATGATGTCCGCGGCCGGCCTGCGCGGAATAAATCACCCARGATCGCCGCACAATGCATGGTGGTTAAACTTTAGTTGGAGACGCACCTGAGTGGTGGAACCCGGGAACAAATGGTGGACTCGCAAAATAAAGGTGGCGGTGGTTTTTAGAGCGAGGAGCTGCTGCAATTATGGTCCAGTGAGACACACGCTTGGATGTTTTTTGGAGTCAGTAAATGACCTATAGCTCGAGGTGCTGTGGTGGCTTCTCCTACATGCTGCTGGGTACTTAAAATATACTTTAAACATGGGTATAATAGAGACAAATCTGGAGAAATTAAATGCGTTTCTCATAGTTCAGCTTTTTACAACTCCCAATGAAAAAATCACAAGTGTACCCCTCTCATCCCAAAACAATGCTCCATTGTTAGAAAGATCCACTCAGGGACTGTCTGGCCTCCCCATCCCAATCTTCTTCTGTAACAAAGGGGAGTTTGTATGTGTGCGTGCAGGTGTGTGAACAAAGGAGCTGGTGGGAGGCAGAGATACAATGCAGAGCTCAAGGTTGGTGTAAAGGGTGAATGCAATCTTATCTCTGCATGTGAGTGACCAGCTCTCGGGGATTCTTTTTGTTTGCTTTTAGATTATTTCTCAATCAACAGCTTTGAAACACCGGGAAAGCAAAGGGAGCTTTTCTGGTGTCTGCAATAAACAAGACGACGTGTAGTCCATAGCTACGTTTACATGGACATAAGTAATCGGATTAAACGGCCATTCGGAATAAAAATGCATCATGTAAACACCCCATTCGGATTATTCTGACCCGATTCAGCTCGATCCGAATGAATTTGTAGTCGGAATGAGAGAGGTGGTTTATGCTGATTGATAATCCGAACAGCGTGCATGTAAACACTTAATCTGACCATCTTATTCTGATTGTGGAAAACTGACCTGACTGCYCATGTCTGCTGACTTTCATCCAGCYGTTTCCAGCAGCACAGAACTTTTCSTCCRGTTCTCTCATTCAGTAAAGAATTAAGACACACAGTCTGTGCCGCTTCGCAAGAKAAAATATAAAATAAAATAAAAAATAGTCCGTGCGTCACCTGCAGCTCAACCAGAAAGTGCAGCAACATCTCTCCACCATTATTAAACCCTGTCGCAGGTCCATTCTGAGCGCTCAGAAACTGTTTATGTTCATCARGAAAGTAGGACTTTTCTGTGATTTTCTAAAAGGGAAAGTTAGCAACTGCACATGTCAGTGCTTCTATTCAGAATAAAAGCCCGGTCCATGTAAACACTCGTCATGATCGGACTGTGCCCACGTAAACCACACATTCCGATTATTTAATTCGAATACATTTCAATCCGATCAAAGAATTTTGCACATGTAAACATAGCAAAAGTGTTATTCTAATGTTTTTTTATTCCAACTTCAAGTTAGATTTTGTTTTCTCCTTTTTTATTGTTGTCTTGAAAACACACGATAGACGTTTGTGTCACAAAATGACTCATTATATTAACATTCAAAAATGTCAAATGACTTCTCTAGGTATTTTTTGGCATTTGCAAGAACATGTCTACAATAAAATTTAAGACTGCTTGTGTAATGCTTAATTTACAATAAAACTATAACACTGAATTTGAATAAAAATTTTTTTGGTATTTTTGGACTTGTTGGTTTATATACAGTATGTGAAACACCTCTCTAGATTAAGGGTGTCCAATCCTGGTCCTTGAGCACCACTATCCTGCATGTTTGACGTTCCTCTGCTCCAACACCCCTGATTTAAACTGAMCAYTGATTAACAGGCTTTCCAGCTTCTTTCTARATCTTTCATCATTTTATTGCATTTCTGTTGACAATTAGCTTCAAAAWGAAATTGCACTCACTGAAGAGGATGGTGCCCTGTGTTGATCTGGCTTTTACTGTCAAAAGAAGAGTGGTGTCCTTAGCTGCAGAGGCTTGGCTATCGCCGTCATCAGGAGGCCGTGGGACGACTCCAAGAGGCTGCAGCTCCAAGTATGATGTGCCATCAAAGGAGGGGATGTACACTGTGATATCTAGAAATAGACATTGACTAAACTMTTTAGAATTATTACATTTATTAGAGAAAACAAATAATTAAATCCCAACACTTGCTATTTTATGTTCCTTATAAAGTAGTAATTGTTTCTTTGCCCCCTATATTCATGAATGCAAAGAGAGTGAGCGCCTTTTAAACAACATCAACAACACCTATACATAGAAGCTTCATAAAAACAGATTTTATGGCAGAGCTGTTGAACTGGATTAGATTTCACAGATGTTCTCGGTAAAGTGCTCTGCAAGTTAAGATCTAAAAAGAAAACGACATTTCTAGTAAAAGCAATGCCCTAAAGTGCTTTCCTTAGTAAAGAGAACAACAGAAATTGGCTGCAGCACAGATAGCTTCACCGTGAGCACAGTCAGCAGGGCCTTGTCAGAGCTATGTGCTAGTGTGTCATTTCCCACCGGATGACAAAGCGGTATGACTTTAAGGAAAGGTGGAGGAGGTACAAGCACAGGTCATCAACTCCACAAGCCAGTGATAATCTGTTGGCCTTTTACACAAAAGAACATTGCACACCAAGTGGAGAGCTTGCTGTTCAGGTCCAAGAAAGTCAATTCCAAACAGGCCACAGCAGTCTCAGCTGAGGGGGATTCTACCTGCAACATATAAAAAGGCAACTGCAACTTCAGTTTGGCTAAAAACTTAGTTATTGATTTCTTCTTATAAATGTTGTTTTCACAATGTGAGTAGTTCATCTGTTCGATTCTAATGGATTTCAAAAGTGGATTGAAAAGGATTAKCAACTTTTTGTGCAGATTAGAATGTAATTAGAAAAAAATGGTAAAATGAAATAAAATAAATGAATGGAATAAATACCAATTACTTTAATCTGGAAATTAAAAAGGGGAATTATAAAGAAAAATAATAAGTGTGGAAATACTTCTTTTACAGCATTTTTTCCTTAAATGTTCACCTTATTGTCTCTTTCACAGATTTTTTGTAGCTTTGTAAAACAATCAAATGCAAAATAAAAAAAATAAATTGAAAACATCAGGTATTTATTTGAACAGTCTATTTTTTTAGCCATTCCAAGAAGTGAAGTAGGTTTATCAGTAAAACAAACTGTTCTGTTGCCAAAATCTGACTACAGGAGTGTTTCCAGTAACACTCTTTCACTGGTAAATCAAACGGTCATAATCCTGTTTTTTTTTCTCCCTCATATGTGCTCTGTGCATCTTTTTTAGCCACCGACCCACTCGTGCTCCTTTCCAGAGCAAACAGTGTGGGTGACTCCTCCGAGGTCTGCAGGGAATTATGTGGAACAGACATGACAGCCAAGCCTTTAAATTACAAAGAGAAAACATAAACTGTGTTGCTTTTGTTGTGGAAGGAGGCATTTCCTTGGACTGAAACTGATGAATCAATCCTGTAATATTTGCCGGCAATTTCTGAGCAAGGCAGATTGAGCTGGCTCATTTATAAAGGCACCAGCAATTACAGCAGCCACATACTAGATGCCCACAAAAAGAGCTGGCAGCACCGAGCCACTGTGCTGGCAAAGCAGGGAGCGCCACACATCAGGTCCCATTAGTGTCAAACAAACACACACGCACACAGACACAGAACATGTCTCAGAAACCTCAAACATTTTTGCTTTTCCCCTCTTATGATTATTTAACTAATAAAATAGAAATACAAATAATTTCAAGTTTTTGTGGTCAGAATCACTGCAATATTAACATTATTCTGGTCTAGTTTGAATTTTTGATCTACAAAAAGAAATATTTAGTTAGAACACACCACTGTAAACCATGTGTTGTCATTTTGCAGTAGATAAATATTTTACAGCATAAAATAAAAAAAAAACTGGAAACAGAGTTTCAGTAATTATCAGCTTAAGCTGCATAATGCAATTTTTATGCTGCTTTAAAAACTGGAAAAGTGAATGTGCAAACTTATTTTGACTGAAGTTATTGTAATATAAAAGTTGCTGGAATGACACTAGTATCAGGACGTTGTGCTGCTGGTATTCTATATTTCCTTGCTAGCCAGCTTCTTATATCACAGCTTCAAATACAACAAGTAAGGACTTAAATCAGTGAGCCGTGGAAGGAGGTCATGATCAATACAGAGCAACCTTGAATAATTTCCTGCCTCACTGGTTTCGTCTTTTCTCCTAATACCTTACCTGGGTACCATTTACTACATAATTTTGCGATCGCTTTCCATTAAATGCTGACATACTTGACAGAGTGTCTTTGGCAAGGTCCACAACCTACTGTGTCTTCCTTAAAGAGACAATCCATAAAGGCTTAAAAGTCTGACTTGACCTGTTGAACTGAGTTTACTTTGATGAAACCTGTTTGTACTTGATTTTAAGAAAACTTAAAAAAATGTGTTTATGAACGATATACTCTCAATACGTGTTGATATTTCTATTAAATGTCAAGTTTTTTTAGACTTCATACTGCTAAGGTAAATAAAAATAGCTTGAATATCCATGTGCATTTTAATATTTCTTTCAGYTATGTGGTGTGCCACACGTCAGCACTTCATGCTGGACACAAACAAGTCCACATCATTTGCCACTGGGTAGCATGACGTGTCTATAATTAACTCAGAGCAGGGGTGACTTGCTCTGTTCTGCTCGTGCGGSTATTAATTAATTCAACAAGATGTGAGGACAAGATTGTCATCAAGCAAAGTTGCCACAGCAATTCACAGACTCTGTCAGCATGTAAACAGCCCCCGGTCTTTGTCTGCGGGCTCAGAACCACCGCTGCAAAGCACATTGTTGGACGAGTGCTCAAATGAGACTGTATCCTGTTAAACCTGAGACGGGAGTGCTTTCAAGGAGGAGCAATTTCTCAAACTCAGCAGAAATGACACTAAAAGGCCACTGCTGGTATTTAAAGGAAAAACTTACAAGCCTGACAGGTTGAGGAATAAGCAGGAAGATCGTTTATGGTGGTTGACGGGTGAGGTTGGGGATATTATTAAAAAAAAGAAYGCACTGTAAAAACCGAACAAAATATTTGAATTATTGTATGAGTATGGTGGTGGCAATCAACTTCACTTTGTCAGCTGTGCTGCTATGCATTATTACTTCACCTGTGATGTTGCATTACAACAGGGGTGTCCAACTCATTTTCACCGAGGGCCACATGAGCATTATGATGGCCCTCAAAGGGTCAGCTATAATAAATTTTGACGTTTTATGTTTAACTTCAACTAAACACGAAACTATGGAGAGCCATTTTATTCAAAATACAATAAATAAATAAAT